GAACTTGGAGGGCTTGCGCTGATCCACTCTATAGAGGAGCAGCTGAACTACAGAACTAACTCCATAGTCGACTAGAGGAGTCCGCCAACCACGCACCTTATGTTTCAACAGTGTAGTCAACTTTGCATTTTAGAATGATGATAATAAAAAAAAATGAGTAAACAAGTAAATGATTCTACTACTTTAAAGTTAAATAAAAATCAAGAATAAATAAATAAAGTAGACACTGAGTATATATGCCAGTGTTATAAATCCTCATTCAGGTCCATAAAAATCCGTAAAGTAATATTAATCACCAAGTTGAATCAAACAAAACAACCCCCCCAAATAAAATCGGGTCTCATTGTAGAGTTACACCATATTTTTTAAACAAGCACCATTAACCGGTTTCCATGGTGAGAGAAGTAAACAGACCTCACATCTCACCATTTGTTTCATTCGGTCCCTCGGGCAAGTTTTCTGTGGAAGTCCTCCGCTTCCTCAGGTGAGGAAAACAAGTGTATCTTCCCGTTATGGAGGACTCTCATTTTGCACGGGTTAAGCTGAAACCCACGGAAAGTTCCCTTCTCAATAACTACTTGTTTTCTAATGTTTTCTTTATGGCGTTGAATCCGAAGCGCTGCCGCATGGTCTCGGCTGAGAGGTCCTGGACGAAGAAAAGCTTGCTTCCCTCATGCGTGATGTCGCGTTGTTTAACGGAGCGGAAAACAAACTCCCGGTCTTGAAACTTCAGAAACCGAATGATAACCGCTCTATTCTGGTTTGGTTTCGGCGATGCTAGGGTTCGATGGGCTCTCTCTAAGGTGAAGGTTCTGTCAGCGTCCAGTTGCAGCCAGCGAGGCAGCATGCTCTGCACATAATCCAGTAGCGTTTGGTTGCCTTCGGCGCCCTCCCGGAGCCCAAACAGCCGCAGGTTATTCCTTCGGCTTCGATTTTCGAGGTCCTCGGTCTTAGTCTCCAGGTAGGCGAGCTGTTTCATAACGTTAGTTAATTCTGTGGTATTTTTTTCCAAGTGTTCCTAAGCCGACATTATTCGGTTTTCGGCTTCTTCCATTCGGGTTGTGTTAGCAGCTACATTTCGCTTCACTTCTGCCATACTGTTCTCCAGAGCAGTGATAGAGCTGGTCATCTTACCCAGGCGGTCATCTATGCTGTCTAGTTTGGATCCGAACTCAGAGCGGAGTGACTTAAGTTCAGCAAGTACCGCCGACAGGTCCGCCATGCTAGTCGTATCTTCTTCGTTTTGTTCGGTCGGTGAAGTGCTGATTTTTGGTCTCTGGGAACCGCGTTTTCGAGTGAAAAAGTCACTGTCTTTGACTGTAGCACCCTTTGACATAATTCCGGTTCAGTTTGGATTGTTGACTTAGTTTTTAAAGTTATTTGGTGCGAAGTTGTGCGGAGCATCCAAGCTAAGCCGCCATCTTGGTCTGTTGCTCAATAGCGCCCCTGTATCAATATGTTTATCGTATTCTAATGATTAAACCGCTCAAATTTATAGGTGAAGGATATGAAGATGTAATCATGCACCACTTTAAAAGAGATTTGCATCTGAAACTCAACTGCGGGCGGCGGCAGTTTTTGTATCTTGGCGTCTTTGGGTTTTTTTTCGCTCAAGTCAGGGGCAAACTAGGACACAAAAATGTCTGTGGTCATTGTTGCCTTAAAGGAGGCATTGGTACTCTGCCAGTCGATTGGGAGAGATTTCTGCATGTCCTTCTGTGTGTCCTTGTCTATCATGTTGGTTTGTTCCTCTGTTGCACAAAATGCACTGCAGGAGGATTATGTTTTATTATTTTGTGCACACCCTTATGCTGTCGCCAAAAATAAGTCAGTACATCCTGAGAACATGTTTCAGCACAAATAATTTTTTCAAGAAAACGAATTAGTATTTCTTTGTCAAAAATTAATATTTCGTGGGAACTTATAGGTATTTTGTGTACATATTATATTTGTTTTTATCACCCCATGTCAGTTCCCAGACTCCGTAAAGTACAAATATACATCAACACCAGTAAGGATGAGAATAATAATAAAAATTTAAATTCTTAGGTATTTTTCTTATTATAAAATTATTGATAAGAAAAATGAAAGAGAAGTTGGACTACAAACTAATAATGCTTAGATAGCACAATCAAAAGTCCGTCTAGACTATAGTATATTTTCAGTGGATGTAAAGGTTTCCACAGTTTTTACAATTTTCAGAGAGTTTGTTCCAGATTAGTGGAGCATACAAACTAAAAGCTGCCTTTCCAT